GCATGGAGCACTGGGTGTTATGCACAAACAATGAATCATGGAACACTTCATCTAGAACTAATGATGTAATGTATGGGGATTAACATAAGAATAAAAAAAATGCAGAATAAAAAAAAAAAAACATACAAAGCTTCTTTCAAAAGTCTTATTAATTAGATAAAAGACCTCAACCAAGCTAACAGACTTACATATTTAAAATTGGATGAATACAAACCCTACAATCATTGCAACAGAAAATAATATATTATTTATGAACCTCAAGAGATTAAATACCTAATCATTTCATCAGCAATCCTCATGAGTGGCAAAATAATTCTGACTTACTTAAGTGTATTCCGCACTGCTGAATGAAAAGGGAAGGGGTCATTTCAACAGAACTCAGGAGAGAAACCTGATAGTTACTCCACAAAATCACAGCTCCCAGGGACTACTCGACACTTACTTTAGCAGCACTAATGACGGTGGCAGTGTAAGACTGAATGTTGTCTCCACAGGCTCCACCACGGGACTGATGACATCGGATCAGCTGGGAAACGAGAGATAGAGAAGCCAGAGAGTCATTTCTATTAAACTGTTTAACTCTACAGGCTATTAAGACAGAGTTTATTTACCGTGCAGAATGATGGCGGTGGGTGGGAATGTTTGTACAAGCATTTCAGACAAACAGCTAAAAGCTCTGCTGAGACACTCCCCCCCCCCACTTTTTATAATCTACTGGTGCCACTCAGGCAGTTTCATGCTCAAAATACAATTTTTAATTACAAGGTGAATAGTTTTTAAGAATTCATAAACTCTGAAAGGGTAATATTGGGGATCTGGCCGCCTTTCCACAAATAAATTTTAAAAACATAATCAAAGGATTTAGACTTGACTTCCTAACATTCAATATTTAACATGCTAGCAAATTGGAGGCTCTGTCCTCTTAATTCCTCCATAAAGACTGTAAAAGAAAACCAAAAAATAAAAAAAGAGAGAGAGACAAAAGACTTTGTCATATTTCCATTTTCAATTAACAGTGGAAAAGTGGCACAAATTATGCATAAATCAACCACGACACACAGTAGCTGTCCACTTCAGAGGGCTTATTAGCATTACCATTAGAATGAAAAAGACATGCCCTTACTCATGACTGACATAAATAAATCAACCTGTCAATTTTCAAAGTGAATCACTAGTTTGATATGCACGACTGTCTCACGTGCTAAGTAACACACCAGAATTAAATCCTCCACTGCTCCTATACTTCCTAAGTTTAGGTTTTCTTTAAAAAAAAAACAAAAAACAAAAAACTTATTAGCCAGATTTTTACATTTAAAATTTTTTAAAAATAAAATGACAATAATAGAGTACTAGAACAGCTCCACATCATGTTACGAATTATTTTAAAGGCCTACAGAATTCAGATAGAATCTACCTCTTTCAAAACATAAAAACAAAAAATGCTTATATAATTTAAAACATGACCATCTGATAAACATTAATACATAATTTTTTTGTACTTTTATTCTAAAATCAAAATTTTGGGGGCTCCTGGGTGGCTCAGTCAGTTAAGTGTCTGCCTTCAGCTTGGGTCATGATCCTGGAGTCCCAGGATCAAGCCCCACATCAGGCTCCCTGCTCAGCAGGGAGCCTGCTTCTCCCTCTGACCCTTCACCGTCTCATGCTCTCTCTCAAATAAATAAATAATCTTTAAAAAAAAAAAAGAAGAAGAAAATCAAAATTTTCTTCATCACTGACACTATTAAAAAACAATCCCTCAAAGCAATAACAGTATGTTAAAATGGAATATCTTTAAAAGTCTGATATGAGATGTCAATCTGGCACATGAAGCAGATTTCAAGGTCAGTAGTGAGGAATTTTCCAAATGACAGGTGACTGCAAATGTGGTTTCACATAGGGGAAAACAGAATTTGAAAGTGATCGCTTTAACTAATAAAAATACCTCTCACTCATTCAACTCATTCACTCATTCATTCATTCATTCGTTCATTCATAAATACATATTCAAAGAATTATGAAAGTTATCCTCTACTGCCTCCTGCCACATGTGCAAGGAAAAACAGTACCTTAGAAACACTACCATTTTTTTCTCTGCTTCACGAATAATCAGGAATAAATGTATGAAAGCAAGCAATACTATCACTTTTTCAATTCAACTAAAACTGAGTCAGCATTTCTACACAAACATAACTGAGTCCGAAATTTTTGTTTAAACTTTAGTCTTGTTAGAAATTACATTTGCATCCCAATTCATGAAAATTAAAGATAAATCAGAAATTTCTGTAGTGCAAACCTCTATAAAATGAACTAATTTCCAGAAAATATAAGTTAAAAAGGCAACGTACAAAAGAGTACATGTGTTATATTATCTTCTGGAAAGAAAGGGAAATATAAATATATATATAACATAATGAAATATATAAGCATGTAAATAAAACATAAATATAAAAAGATTATTTAAAAATTATTTAAGGGGTACCTAGGTGGCTCATTCAGTTAAGCATCAGACTCCTGGTTTCAGCTCAGGTCATGATCTCAGGGTCCTGAGATCGAGCCCCGCATCAGGCTCCGTTCTCAGTGTGGAGTCTGCTTGTCCCTCCCCCTCTGCTCCTCCCCCTTCTCTCTCTCCCTCTCTCTCTCCCATAAATAAATAAAATCTTAAAAAATTATATATCAAATGAAAGCTGTAAAAACAATGAAGGAAGGCATAAAGGGAGAGATAAAGGACAAACTAATCAAAATAATATACGGACACAGTATTTGACTGTACATCTTCAGTTTTAGGCAGAATGGGAATGGACAGAATTGCAAGAAAATCCTGAACTCTTTTTATTTGGTTTGATATTTGTAGTGGTGTGAGCAAGCAATTCTGGGATTACTTTTTCCATTATAGGATTCAACAAATGAAGTAAATGTGCTGATTACAGAGTCTCCCATGCAAAACAAGGGACATATAAATAGGAGATGGAGGATGAAACGCAAGAATCCTATAGAAATACCAATGCGTACTCTTCATTTCCAAAATATGTGTGTAAGTGCACAAGTATGTGTTATATGTATATTTGCCAATTTATGTACATATAGAAGTATGTGTATGTATGTAATAATGCAGTGTTTCCAAACTTTGTCTACTGAAAGTGTCTAGAAGCAAAAACAGCCCCATAACAATGAGCACACCTACTGGGCAAAGCTTAGTATCTAAAGCCATGGCCCATTAAAAGGAACAGGGGAATCAGAAGTAGCAGATTCCAGGGCTGAGACAGGACAGATACTAGATGAACCTGAACTTACGATAGCAAATAAGGAAACAGAAAAAAAGTTTAAGTAAAAAATTGATGAAGGCATGTCACTGTTACAAGAACCAGCCTAAAGGGCTCTCCTTGGTCAACTGTGGGACAGTTTGAAAGCCACAATAATTAAGGACAAAAACATTACAAACCATTAAGAAATAGGAACCCAGGAGTCCATGGAAAATACAAACACAGAAAGACAGAGAAAGGAAAGTTCTTGATTACAACAGAAAGTCAAGTGCCTACTGGTTATGCGGAGAGTGAAGGTGAAAACCATTATTTTGCAATCCTCATAGTAAAGATTAGCTCAGGTAAGAATCATCAACGGATGCTAAAATTAGGCTAAAATTTTGATGAAAAGCAGGATATATTCATGGTCTTTCCATATTACCTATTAGTTACAAGGGAAAAAATAGGGATTATTCATTTCAGAAACTGGACAAAATCTTGACAAAATTAGTATCACCAATAAAGGACAAATATATATCATGTGCCTCCATCTATTATACTACGAGAAATACAGAACAATATTCTTGTAGTATTCTAGCCAAAAATATATAACCTGAATATAATCAAGAGAAAACATAAAAAAAAAAAATCAAACTAAAAATCATTCTATTAAAAAAAGGGGGGAGAGGTAAAGGGTAGTGGTAGGGCGCTGTATTCTGCAAAATCATTGATGCTGTAAAAGACAAAGAAAGACTGAAATCTTCCATATTAAAAGAATCTAAGGGGACATCCCAACAAAATATAATACCTGATCCTAGACTGGATCCTGCACTACAAAAAAAAAAATTTCTACAAATGATATGATAGGGTTAACTGATAAAATTGGAATACGGTTGGTAAATTAGATAAAAGTATTTTTTGAAGATTAAATTGGCTGATAACTTAAGTATTTAGGGGTAATGTGATATATGCAACTTACTCTGAAATAATTAATAGGAGGTCAATTTGAGTAAAAGGTTCATGAGTGTGCTTTGTGTTATTTGTACTGTATTTATTCTTAGAACTTTTCTGTAACCTTTCCTAGTTAAAAGTACATCTAAAGAGAGGCACTGAAAAACAAACCCCTTAAAAATAGAGCTACCCTATGACCCAGCAATTGCACTACTGGATATTTACCCCAAAGATACAAATGTAGTGATCCGAAGGGGTACCTGCACCCCAATGTTTACAGCAGCAATGTCCACAATAACCAAACTATGGAAAGAACCCAGATGTCCATCAACAGATGAATGGATAAGGATGGGGTGTATATATATACACACACAACGGAATAGTACTCAACCATTAAAAAAAATGAAATCTTGCCATTTGCAATGACATGGATGGAACTAGAGGGTATTATGCTAAGCGAAATAAGTCAATCAGAGAAAGACAATTATCATATGACCTCACTCATTTGTGAAATTTAAGAAATAAAACAGAGGATCATAGGGGAAGAGAGGAAAAAATAAAACAAGATGAAATCAGAAAGGGAGACAAACCGTAAGAGACTCTTAATCATAGGAAACAAACTGAGGATTGCTGGAGGGGAGGGGCATGTGGGGATGGGGTAACTGGGTGATGGACATTAAGGAGGGTACTTGATGTAATGAGCACTGGGTATTATATACAACTGATGAATCACTGAACTCTACCTCTAAAACTAATAATACATTATATGTTAATTAATTGAATTTAAATTTTAAAA